TCCTATCCTGGAAAGAAAAAAGGCTACCAAGTGGAAGAGGAGCTACAGTTCCATTATTTTAAAAAATTAATGCTTATTAAATGTCAAGCATACGAGGCCAGTGCAGAATACAAAGACAGTCTGGAGACTTGCCCATTAGCTTACATTCAAAGACAAAGAACCAGAGGCAAAACAGAACAGATGTAGATGAGCAGATTAGTTTAAGAGTTATCCGATTTCTCAGCTTTGTTTTGCTACCACTGTAATTGTTCATCTAAATCAAATTGTCATTTCTTCTTAGTACTTCTAAAAATATATCCTATTCCTAAGAAATAGACTAAGAATTTAATGCAGTGGGAAAGGAGAAATTTAAAGGACATGCATTTTTCACACTGTATAGAAGGATGACTGGAAACTTCCATTTTGAATGTAAGTCTGTCTAAAAGGAAATCAATAAGACCTAAACAGGTCACTGGACAAAATGCTGAGTAATAAGGTAAATCATTTTAAGCATTAATCAAATTAAGTTAAAAACAGTATTTTAAGTACCCACTTAAACTGATTACTCCACACTCAAGAATTTACATGGAGTCTTCTCTAGAGGCTCTAAGGAAGACAAAAGGTAACCAAAGTATAACTTTCAAAAGCAACTTTCTTTAGGCTGCTTGAATTTTATCTGACTGTGACAAAGAAATAAAGAATGATGTTACTTGCGCCAAGATTAACGGTAAATTTAGCTCAAGTATTTTGTATCTACTTAATCTGTACAAAGACAATAGAACACAAGCAATTACCAGGGATCATTACACCTATCTTGAACAATTATTGAGGATTAGAACATGTACATTAAACATGGCTATTTTTGCAGCAAAAGTTAAATTTGCCGGTATGTTTCTTTAAAACTCTAAGTCAGAAGCAGGCAATTCTTTTCTGCAGAGGGTCAGAAAGTAAATATTTTAGGCTCTGCAGAACAAGAGGCAAGGTCAAGGATATTATATAGGTTCTTATGGAACAAGAGGGAAAACAAATTTGTACCAATTTTAATTGATAAACTTCAAAATATAATAATGTGTATAATTTTTTTGCAACATAGGTCTACTAATGCAAAGAATGTAATTCTTTTTGGGGGCTAACATTTTACATAATTGAGATTCAAAGTTAGCATTCCCTATCATCAAATTGATTGCAAATGTTGATCTGTAAAATCATTCTCAGTTCCTGGGCCATACAAAACATTCCAGCTAGCCATACTTAACTTTGTCATCCCTTGCTCTAAGTATAAAAGTTACTTGAGAAATAAGTTATAACACTAACACCACAAACCTTAATTTCCAAACATCTGCTTCTAAGTAACAAAATCAAGTTGGATATTAAAATCTTCGAACTTCTTAACATAAAACGCCTAAACTTTAACAACTGTTTCTACAAAGCAACTTATTCTTCCTTGACCCTTAGCTAAAAGATAAGTATAAACAAAGATTACTAAACACTGAAGAGAAACCTAATCTTCTTAAAAATCTTATAATCTAAGAATTTGGCTTACACAGGAGTAAAAATATAGATGAAAGTACATTTTTATCAGAAACTAGGGCAACGGAAAATAATCAGAATCAAGTAATTGAGGGGAAGTGAATCAAATAATAATAAGATAAAGAAAAGGAAAGTTAGGAGTTTATCAAGCATGGGGAGCAGGGAGCTAATCCACTAAGATTTCATGAAAATGTATCTTGAACACTTTTCGCAATATTAATTTGAAGTAAATGTTTAGTTTTTCAAATAACAATAGTTTTTCTGAATAACAACTTTATCTGATTTTAACCATTAACTTAAAACTATATAACTTCACACTGATGACTGCTTTTGCAAAAATTAAGAATAACCTCACTATCTTTTTCTAGTTAGCTCTATACCTCAGCCTCACCAACAAGTGCTCTAGACTAGAAAATCATTACCTTTGTGGTAGAAAGATGTGCCTGACTCCTACAGTTGCCAAATTAAAGGAAATTCTCATTCCTTGCTCCTAATAACAAATGAAGATATCAAATCTTACTATTAAATGAAGATATTAAATATTCAGAATATTTTCTCATGAAAGATAAAATTAACAACTGTAGATTTCTAATAACCTCATTTTATTTAGATTATGGAAAATTTACAAATCAACCAAACAAGATACATAAACTGTACAAGAGGAAATATGATGCCAAATATATGCATTAAAATGTAAAAACACCCTTTCTTACACCTTTTTCAAGGGAGTCCAAGGCACTTTACAAAAGTAGTAATTTTTTACTATAATATTTCAGGGAGAAAAAGAAAGATCCACTGATTTTATACTTTAAAAAGTTTGGATTTCTGATCTTAGCACTTTAAGCTCTATTACAAAAGCATTTTGATTTGACAAGTCTCCTTTGCCCTAGTAATTTGAACTAAAATAGCAATAAAGGTTTTTAAATTTTCAAAATAAATAAACTAAAAAGGTGTGAGCAATGTATTGTATGGAAGTGAATGTTGGCAAGAACTCCTCATTACCCACTTACTTTTAATAGCATTCAACATATTTTAATCAAAACTAGTGGTCAACAAAGGGTAGAGAATAGGCAGAAACAAGCATGTTTTGGGAAATCTTTCTAGGTTTTTCTAATAACTCCAGATCTAATTCAGAACCACTTCTCTACATATATAACACTCAAATTTTAAAAATGTATACATGTGGATTCTATCCACACAACTGTACATCAGTGTTTGTATAAAATTCCCAATTATTCTCAATTTTCATTTCCTCTTGTTCCAAAGGTGATTTGAACATGCATCACTTCTTTCAAAATCACATTTTAATTTGGAAGTCATAGAATTTTAGGGTTGAACAGTATCTTAGAGATCATCTAATCTAAATCTTTTGGTTCTTTAAGTAAAGAAATTGGACTCAAAATTATGCCTAAGATTACAAACTACAGAGTGACAGGGCTGGGACTTCAATTCTAATGCCCTGACTCTTCAGTGCCCTTTTAATCAAACTAAGTTGCAAGAAGACTCTTCAGGCAACTTGAAATCAGAATTACACATGAGAACTATTTAAGAAATTTCCATTTCACCTACTATTTAGTGTGAAGAATGTTATTTTATTTCAAACTCAAAAGTTTTAAGGAAAGTTAAATATTTTTATAGTATAGTAAATATTAAAAGAAATTGATTTCTTATAATTTAAAGAATTCTCATTTATGTAAAATTCCAAACTATTGCTAGTTTCATCTTACTATTTGAGAAATTTAAATAAAATGATTCAAATTTCTAATGTTAAATTATTTTCTTCTACTTTACTAAAATTACAGTAAAGATCTTAGCTTAGTGTGAAAGCTTAAAGCTGGGAATCAAAACATCTAGGTTTGTGTCTTATTTTTACAATACTCAAGTAATTTACTGTCAGATCTCAACCTCTCTGACTTTTTGTCATCTCCTGATTAAGGATCATCATAACTTAAGTGCCAGACATCTTATCTATTATTGCTTTTAATTCTCACATCTTATAAAATAGATATTGTCCTACCTATTCTACAGATGAGGAAACTGAGGCTCAGAGAGATTAAGTTTTCCAAGAAACTAAGCTAGTTAGTGGCTGAGCTGGAAATTAAATCTAGCTCTGCCTGACTCCAGCTAGAGCCCATGTTCCTTGTATGACACCACTTTGCTCGTATCCTGATACAATGTGTGATCCTAGTGTGGTAAGGAGGAAGAGAATACATTTGTAGGACTATTATGGAGATAAAGACGATAAAATAAAAATACATGCTAAAACATGTAACTTTCTCTAGTTATTAAATTGAAAATGAATTTTTAGTAAAAGATTTTAAACTAATTATGCTATACATACTATTATTATTAACACTGAAGCACTGTACAATTAAAAAATATATCAATCTTGCTTTTAGAGATGCCACTGTAAATAAAAGTGAAAAACAGGTACCTCAATTCCTTTCTGTAGTTAAAAATAAAATTACTCTGAATTCCCAATAAATCACATACATAAAGAGTATTTATACACATACATGTTAGAACAGAAGGAATCAAGTTCCCGCCCTTTCAAACAGATAAAAACACCCTCAGATATGCAAGAAAAGAAAATGATCAGATGTACTATCAACCCATCAATCCACTGTAGATGGGTAATGATACTGTGGTTGATGCTCTGACATAAGTCTAAATGCTTCTCCAATACTAGTTTTTCTGTCATGTCTTATGTAATAAGCAAAAAGTTCAGTAAAATTAATATCAGTAAAATGTTTGGAAGACTGCCCAACTTACTCCCTGTGTGCGGTCACTGGCTCTTTTTGTAAAGTTTTACAATCTACAAAAAATAATAGGGCGAATGTAGGGTGCAATTATTAATAAATTCAGCCTAAAAGCAAAACCAGAATTGAAATTTCAGGTTATCTTTTACCTATATCATGCCTTACAACTAAAAACATGTAATCAGCTCCAAATGAAAGGAGTAACTGTGCACATTTATGACCTAGTAACATCTGACAATTTCTTTACATAAGAATCATCAATACCTCTATGACTCTAGGCTCTTTTCCCAACAATGGCCAAGGTGCTAATCTCTGTGTCCTGGGATAATCCCAACACAGGTAATGACACTCTGACCCAGTCAATTCCCTTGGAGTTACATCTACGTAGATACAACTTTATTTTTCCCCCCACGTCTCTTTTCACCTCCTTGAACCCCCTAATCCCCATGGAACCACACAAACCGGCCACTGAAGAAGCGTTCTTTACCTGACCCACCTTCTACGTTAAGCATTCACTCTGTCTCTAACTGCAAATCGCGAGCAGGAGGAACCTAGGACAAAACTGCAAATTCAGGAAACCAGTAAACAGAAAAGGAACAGAGAGAGCGCGAAGGTGTGGGGGAGGGCGGGGCCCGCCTGCCATCCTCCGGGGAGCTGGGGAAGGAGAGGGCCGGGCGCGGAAGACCTCGCTCCCGAGCAACGCCAACTTCCACCCTCGTTCCCTCCCCTCACCTCGATCTCGCGGATGTTGTTGGAGGTGACGAAGATGCCAATGCCAATCGGGATGAAGATGAGGCCGATGATGAAGAAGGTAGGTAGCACCGTGCCGGCCGTAAGGATGGGTTGCCAAGCGGGAAGCCGTTGCTGTTTGAAGGCCGTGTTATCCGGTCTCCGAGTCTTAGCGGTGCCCCCAGGAGGACACGGCGGCCCACCGTCCACTTCATCCTTCGAGTTATAGTTCATCGCCATCGACCCCCGGGTCGCGGCTCCGAGACGCGCAGGTGGACCGCCCAGTGGACCGCCTGCTGATCCTGACAGGAGACGCGCAGGCGCCGCTGCCGCCGTCGCCACAGCCACCTCCGCTGTAAAGGCGGAAGAGGCGGGACACTCTCCGCAAAGGGCCGCTGATCGGAAGCGAGAGTAGGCTGGAGACGCCAGGGGGAGGGAGAAAAGGAAGGAGGAAGAAGACTGAGGGACAAGGGGAGGGGGAAAGGGAGGAGAATAAAAGGGAGAGGGAATAGGCGGACGCACCATGATCATTTGCCCTGTGACGACAAAGTGAGTGGCTCAACCCCTGGAGTGTGAAGCTACGTTGGCGCATGCGCGGCCCTACAGCGAAGCGGCCTTGGCGCTTGCGCCATAGGCGCGTCTTCGTTCCGCGGCCGGTGCCTGTGTTTGCACACACTTGCCTGCTGTTTATCGTGGTGACAGGCGGTCTAGGTCGCCGGTCTGGCCTATGCCACCCTCGTTAGCCCTGGAGCTGCCGACAGAGAGGTTTCTCTGGTAGTTTCGGCGCCAGACAGGTTTTTCTTTTTTACCTCGACGTCTTCTGTGAAGGGAATCGGAGCATTTAAAAGGCCACGTTAAAGAGGGCTTGAGTTTAGTTTAGGATTGGCAATATTTGCTTGGGTTATAAAACGGCGAATTTCTCTAATTAAAATAAATAAATCACTACCTAAGGTGTAAATATAAACTTTAAGATGCATAACGTATGACCCTTTCCTCCAAGTCAAGAATCAATGAGCTCGTTAACCCTATTATCTTGTCTCTAATTGAACTGTTATCACTTATTTTTCGTCCATTAATGGTCCTCACATCACTTTTACCCTTTTCTGTGTCCACGTTTCACTTTTGGACATTGATTTAGGAAGTCTTTTGTGATAAGCTGTACCTTTTACTGTTAATGATTAAAAACCTGAACATATTATAGCATTACTATAAAATGAGATCCTCCACAAACAGTTTAAAACCACCAAGTATTTATTGACCCAAGCAAATATGATATAAAAAGTCACTAAATCAGGATACCTAAGTAGTATAGAGACTGTAGAAATACAATACACAGCCCAAATAAAAAGTAAATAATGGTAACATCCATTGACTTTTTTGTTTCTTTGCGCTTTTCTGTATTTTCAAAAATTCCTACAATAAACATATATCATTTGTAAAGTTTAAATGATTTATATACAATCCACATTATACTGGCATCTTTGAAATCCAGACAAAAGAGTAAATCATATCATCTGAAAACAAATACCCAAACTTTACTGTTTAAAGCTTTGTCTGCTTGGTCCTCATTATTTATAATTAAATGTTTTGGTTTTTTTTTTTTTCAAAATGACCGCAAATCTCAAGAATGTGAGCCAAATATTTATTTGGCAGAGTTTAGAGGAGTACTTGGTGCCTTCTAATAATTGACTTGCTTGGGTTTGGTCTTATACAACATTATCTCAAATTCTTAGCACTACTAACATGCTTAAGTCTATATTTTGTTTTTGGCAATTACGTTTACTTTCAACCCCAAGTTCAAATGGAAACTATCACAGTTAATGGAGAAGGCATGGAGTAGTCATTTTATTTTACTAAGTTCTGTTAATAAAAGGGTATATCACAATCTGGGGCATAATGCAAAAGTACTGAGGAGTGAACGTTGATCTTTTTCTCTTGCCCAAATTCTTTTCTAAGAGGCCTGGTAAGCCATACCCTACAAACCATAAAATCTCATTAAATGGGTTATTAACCCAGTATAATGTACCTTACTTGCCAACCTGACTCTGGAATAGCATCCCATTAGATGGCAGACCCCTTATCCTAACTTAAGCATTCTTGCAGGCACCCTATCTTATCTCAAGCATTCCTTTCTACTGACTCCAGGTCTTTAGACAAAGCTTGACTCTTTCAACCAATTGCCAAGTAAAGAATCCCTAATCCCACCTATGACTTGTAAGCCACCACTTGGAGATGCTCTGCCTTTTTGGCCCGAACCAATGTATACCTTCCATGTATTGATTTATGATTTTACCCATAATTCCTGTCTGCGCGAATGTATAAAATCTAACTGTAGCTCGGGTACGTTTTCTCAGGACCTTTTGAGACTATGCTCCCCAGGCCCTGGTTGTACATATTTGGCTCAGAATAAACCTCTTTAAATATTTTCGCAGAATTTGGTTTTTCCATCAACTACATGTAAGGCAAGTTGTTCTCCCCATTTCTGCCTATATCATCACACCCGCTGCATTTGATAGTTAGTTCCCAGATTTGCTATTCCAACATTCTATATAAATGGTCAATTATTTTGCCTTCGAGTTTTATTGTTGTTCTGGGGATCTGAGTGTTCATGATGTATTTATCTGTTTCCTTTTTCTTTGGTTTTGTTTGTTCATAGGAAAGATGAGTTAACTCCTTGTCTCTTTTATTAGAAATTCCATTTTGACCGAAACAGATTTACAGAACTGAAAGCTTCATTAGATTCTTGCCTAAAACTTACGTTTTCAGATGAGGTACAAATGGATGAAGTTGTTTTTCCAGATCTCTTGACATCCCTCCATTTCTTTTTCCACTACTATACTCTGCCACCACAATATGCTTCTTTACCCAGCTAATACATTTTTTTCATCTCTACATCACTATCTCAAGGGACTCAGAATTTTTTGATTTCCTTGGTCACACATTGTTTTATGATAGTCCTTACTAAGTAGTTATTCGTTTAATCTGCTGAAGTAGGAATTGTAAAAAGTGTTCAGCATTCTAGGGCAAGAAAGGAGGATGGTTGTCCTCACAATGGGTTACCAGTATATGCATTTTCAAACTGTGGTTGCTAAGAGTAACTAGTGTGTGTGTGTATGTTGATGATACATTTAGGTAACATTTGTATTTTCAAGTGATTGTTCACTTACTGATTCCTGGTAAAAGTGGAATCTATGTGGCTAAATGACGTTTGTTGCTATCACATCAAAATAGTAAATATGCAGTGAATGCATGAGCCCAAACATAAAAGGGAATCCAAAATGATAGAATATATGCAAACCCAACAATCTGAAAAGGTATATATGTTTAGCATTTAGAGGGGAAGTTTTACACAATTTTCATTGTTCAGTTCAATTGCTGTGTTATGCCACTGAACTAGGTTATCAGAAATATAGAAGAATAACTATTGAGTAATATAAGGAATGAGGAAGAGGAAATTGAAACTGGTCTTTTTACTGTTTGACCAAAGTAGATTTTGCCACACAGATTTGCTTATTGGGCTCTTTTGATGTTGGGTGCTGCTTTAGCTCTCTAGCTTCTAATCATATTCAAACTATTTCATTCACATCCGTAACTTAAGGATGTTTAAGGAAGTTGAAGAGGGCTGAGAAATGTGTCATAGTTTCTACCAACATGAGAAAGTTCTTAGTGACTGGCAATGGTTCAAACTGCTTCAAGGGACTGGGTTGTATTTTTGCTTGTTTAAAAAGATTTTTTTTCTCCTATTCAGTTAACCATGGCAGCTTACTTTCAGGAGAAAGAGTGGCATAGGATGTGTATAATTTCCTGTATTTACTGCATCAGATATTGATTCAAACTGATTTTGAAAAGTTACTTTTTAAAATTGATCTTTTTCTGATTTTTATGTAGTATATTTATTGAACTCCTTCAGTTAAATATTTAAGAAAATCCTTTTGTTCTCACATTGAGAGATTGTCTGATTAGTCTAAAGTCATTGGTATAATGAAAGATATTGCAAGTTCTTGCATAACCAGTCAGTAATCAGAAATACAAGTCAAACAAGATATTTTAATGGTCAGTGTCAGTAGAGGAAAGAGCAATGATACAAAAATTCCTTAGTAGACAGCCTAAGAATTTTGTTTTGGAAGGGAAAAGACTAAGGTTTCATTTCTCATAATTCCACACTTTCTGTAAATGAAAAAATATAATTCTAATGAGACTTCAGACTTCACGATTTCAGCCACATAGAATCTCCCAGTTGGTTATATCTCCATGGCACCTATTTTTTCAATAGGTGCCATCAATTATAGATAAAATCTTTTCTTCAAATATGATGTTGCTATCTCTAGGTTGACAGCAACTGACAGTAACTGACATCTGTTACATGTATAACGTCAAATTAATTATTTAAAAAGGGGATGTGGAGGTGGGGAGAGGCTAAGCTTACTCCACCTGAGAATCATCAACAGATAGAGCAAAGTAGATCTTTAAAAAATGCTAGTCCTTTATAAGTCATATGTTTGGACTATTTTTATTCTTATTTTAAACTTAAACTTTTCTATTTTTCTAAGTTTTAAATTATTGGAAGTCTGGGGAGGTGAAGGGCATTTCATCATGATTTGTTTTTTGAAACACTTGAATCAGTACTACCTATAAAGTTACTCATTTCTTTAAAATAACTCCAACTTATTTGTGAAGAATGACCTCCACAAAATGGGCTTAAATGTGAAAGTCAGCTTTTTGTTGAGCCTCAGAAGTGAAACACATTTTTTAGTCAATGGCACTAAATATTTATGACAACAAAGGCCAAGACCAAGGGCTTCCCTCTGACCAACACACTATGAGGCACAAGGCAGGGGTTCAACAAACTGTTCCACAACATCATTTTTATTGTCACTGAATCTTCTGGGAGAAGTAATCTGCACTCACTATGTTTGCTTCCTTAGCCCAGTCACTCAGCAAACCACTGCTCCCTTACTTCTGACCCTACTATGCTGAAACTGCCTTGCTAGCTAATTCCCACTCAACCTTCAAGATTCAGCTCAGCAGCCAATTTAGGGAATATTTCTTTGACCCCCTGGGCAGAAGTAAGAGCTGTTCTCTGTACTCAAGGCAACTTATATATCTCTACCCTTGCACTTGCCATATATTATTTAAAAATATGTGTTTATGCGTGTTTTTCTGACTAGATATGAGTTCTTCAAGGTCAAAGACTATTTTTATTCATTTCTAAATCTCCAACACCTGGCAAAGTGCCTAGGCTGTAAAAGGTACTTGATAAATCTTGTTGAACTGACCTGAGCTACTCTCAATGAATCCACATTTTAGTGGGAGAGACAGTTTGTGGACGGACAAACAATTGAAATGTAATGAGGTCAGTACCCTATAACGTGTGTATAAGGCGTTACGGGAGCTCCAAGGAGGTATCACACCTCATTCCCTTTATGATGCCAAAAACTAAACTGTGAGGTATTTTGTAAATAGGAGTTATGATTGGAGTGATGCTGTGGTTCTCCACCTAGAAGAATAGAGAAAGTTGAGTTTTATGCTAT